CGGTGCTTTAATAAAGGTTTCTGCATAGCTATCATGTCGGGTAGGATTAATCGAATCGCGACAAATTATAATAGATTATTATCATAGACTGTATGAAGTGCTAGAGTATGCAAAATAATTAATTGTAGTAGCATTTTATAAAAGATATGTCATTGAATTTTACTCGGACGTTGCAGCATCAGTCCACTTTCTTTTCAAGTATGCATTTTTTCCATAAGAAAACATTGACAAAACCTATACATTTGTCTCTTAAATAAACGGATAAGGATAGATTTATTTTTTAAAAAATAAAAATAAATTATATTTTAAAATTATTAATTAAAATAAATTATTTATTATTTAACATATAACATCATCGTATGTTAAATTTTTATTAAAAAAATACTTTGTTGACTCTAATTAACACTGATATGAGGAGCTGAAGACAGCTTTGCTTTTGCAAAGACCTTAAAAAGGAACCGCAAATTAAGCGTCAGGGTAAAATTAGTGGCAAATCCAGGTGAAATTTTTTACAAAGACTTTTTTTTTTAATAAAATAATTATAAATTTATTATTATTATTTAATTTTTTATTTTAAGTTACACAATAAAAAAATAAATTTTTTATCCCAAAACTTATTTTAATACATATCACATGACTTAAATTTAAAATATCTTACTTTTATTAAAAAAATTTTATCACTAAACTATTTAACTCTTAACTAAAGTCACTAATAAACAATCGGCCAAATGTGCAAGTTGCCTCTCAAAATTGTAATATTAAAGCAAATCACCACAAAAAATATATATATATATATATTGATGTGATTTGTCACTTCAAATTTTCATTTTATAATTTAACAATTATCATTAAATTTTGTTAAATTATTATTTTTGAAATCTAACAAAAAGTTAATGGTAACCTTTAAATTTGGATCAATTTTTTAAAAATAAAAATTTGAAGTGATAACTTGTATCAATATTTTTTTTAGTAACGATTTATTTCAACACAACAATTTTGGGATGAATCAACAATAGGATTAAGGGCGGTCCATTTCAATTCTAGTAGGATTGCAAAAACTAAATAAAAAAAAAATGATCATAATTAAGCAACACAACATTGTAAGTTGTAATGATCATTTTTTTGGGAATACAAACAATAGGAATTGTACTCTAAATTTGTGGTTAAAAATATAGATAATTCAATTATTCAATCACATGGCTGATGATGTAAGTTGTAATGATCATAATGAAGTGGTCTACAACAAAGGACTATAAGCGATCGTATTCAAAACTTTAATAACATGAATGAAAATGCACTAGTTCTTATCTTATAATATATTTTGTTTGAGCCTTGAGGGGAATAGAGAGAAGTGAAAGGAAGGAGAGGATTTTTTGACCAATTAAATTATAATATTTAAAAATATTACAATTTAATTCGTAAAAGTATTCTTCCCTTCATCCTCCTCGGCTTCATTTCCCACAAACCAAACATATTATTAATTCACACCTTGATCTTGCCATTGCCACACTTAGGGTTGGACCAAAGTGACCCAAACCTGTTGTTCTAAGTTTTAACCGCAACCGCGTGACCCACAGGTTGATGGGTCGGGCCCATGCTGATGCAGGTTGGATGGGATTTGTACTTGAAGCCCAAACCGAGAGCCAGTTGGGCGGTTGACATTTTTCAAAAATTTTCAACAAAATTTGGACTTCTCCCAGGCCCTTTTCTAAGTATTCCCAGTTTTGCAAGTGATAATAATAATAATACTATCTCAATTTTAAAATAGTGGTTCTTTTTTTTATCTTTTAAATTAAAAATTTTAAAATAATTTATATATTTATTTAAATTATTCTTAAAAAACAATTAAAGGATAAAAAGAGACATTTTGTGATAAAATAATTAATCATAATAAATAGATAATGTTAAGTTTAAATTAAAAAAAAATATTTATTTGCCTTCAAAAATAAAAATTATACTTTCTCTATCTCAAAATAACTGTATTTTTTTACTTTTTCTCAAATTAAGGATTTGGGGACAATTTATATGTTTACATATATTACTCTTAAGAAAAAGCTAAAGATAAAAGAGATGTTTTTTCTGATAAAATAATTAATTAAAATAAATGGACAATGATAGGATTAAAGTAGGAAAAAAATATTTATCTATTTCAAAAAATAAAAAATGACAATTAATTTAGGACAAATAAGCTCAAAATAAAAAAATGACTATTATTTTGGAATAGAGAAAGTATTTATCTATGGTAAAAAATAAAAAAATGATGATTAATTTGAGACAAACTCAGAATCAAAAAACAATGGCAAAATAAGTAACATAAAAATGAAAAGTAGGACCTAACATTAAAAATGTCAAAATATTAAATTTCAAAAGCATAATGGATAAATTTTATGTGAGAGTTAGATTATATTATATCCATCTTGTGGTTATAAATAGATATCATGATATTTTTAATGTTAAGATGAAGTAATTTTTGACATTCTTTAATAATCTTATTATATATAAATATTGAAGTAATTTATAGTAAATACCCAAAACCCTTCAAAGTTAATATAAAAAATACAACCCAATTAAAAGATTTTTTAAGGGCATATGTTAAGGAGATAATTATTGTACTTTTTATCATTAATTAGTATTGAAAAAAAAAAAATTGATATTTATTTAATTGATTGCTCAATTAAAATGATCCATGTAGTATTAGTAGTAAAATTAATATCAACCTTTATATTTTCAATGTCAATCAATGATAAAAAAAAAATACAATAATTACATTCTTAACTTGTATTCTTAAAATTTAGAGAAATCTTTAACAAAAATATTCAATAAGTACAAGGCCAATTACTCTCTATATAACGTTAAATTTGGGTTTTATTATTTTGAAGAATGCAGCTCAAATTTGTTTTTCTCCCCTATTTCATTATAAAAACCTCCTAGGAAAAATGGGATGTAGAAGAAGATGTGCCCTTTTTTTTCCTACCATGATCAACCCTTTCCAATTTGTTTTTCCATTTGGGTTTTCATGTAAAAGGATAGATGGATATATATATGTATATATGGGAAAAAGAAGAAGCTCGGTTAAGTGAGAATTTTTTTTTTTTTTTTTTTTTTTTTTTTCTCCCTGCCATGATAAATTATTTTAGAGACCAATCATAATTGTCACGTTTCAGAACCCAAATCCGGGGACATGGCAGACGCCGTGCACTTGTGAGAAGGTTCTATAAATGCACAAGGCTCGAAACTTATCATACCATAATCTGATACCATCAAAATTTGAAGATCAAATTTTATAATTTGCTTTAATATCATAAATCTCCAAATATCTCGCTTACAAGATCATGATCTATATCTACAATCCATATTCAATTTACAAAATGGCTAGCCTTTTAACTCGTCACTCCCCTTGGTTTCCCCGTCCTCGGTTTCGTTTCTTGAAATGGTGGACAAGGAAAAACTATGAGATAAAATATCTCAGTAAGTAAAAATATAAATAGCCCTTGGGTAAAACTTTTAGCATGCCTGATAAACAGTTTAACACAACAAAACGTTCAATAACAAACCGTTAAAACAGAGTCAGATTCAGTTCAATAACAAAATGTTTCATGACAAATCATTAATGTAGAAGAAAATTCAATAGTAGTCTCATCTATAAGTTATGACTAGCGTTTATAAACCTTCCACTGACGGGCACAGTAGTTACCAATGTTTAACCCCATTGGCAAGGTTACAAAAGTACCAGTGTTAAACAAACTCCCACTGGCAGGCGTCAGTAATGGTACCAGTGTTTACAAACTCCCATTGGCAAGCGTCAGTAATTACCAATGTATTCGCCCATTGGCAGGCGTCAGTAGTACCATTGTTTAACAAACTCCCACTGGCAAGCGTCAGTAATTACCAATGTATTATCCCATTCGCAGGATGAACCGGTTCTACAGAAATACATGTCGACATGTGCTAGCGTTTGCAACTCCCACTAGCGGGCGTCAGTAATCATGACTATATCAGAGACAAAACCAAGCAGGATTTACAGAAAAAATCCAAAATTTACAACCAATCTTCAATTTTAGAAATAAACCGAAAAATTCTCATGTGAGCATGGATTTAATAGAAAAACTCAAAATTTACAAAACTCTCAGTTCATCAAAGTAGTTCAGTCAATTCCAAATATAAACCAGAAAATTTCATGTGGGCATGCTCAACTCTAGAAAAACAATACAATTCTCATTTTCACTCCAATCATGCTCAATTCTAGAAAATTATAATTTTCATTTCAATCATGCTCGATTTCAAAAAAACAATGAAATTCTCATTTCCATTTCAATCATACTCAATTCCCGAAAAACAATGAAATTCTCATAAAAATCATCACAATTTTCATTTTAGTTTAATCACACTTAGATGCTCATAAAATCAATTTAAGCCTCGCCACCATCTCAAAAACAATTGAAAACATGCTTTAAAATCGAAGGGCTTTATCATAATTTACTTATCTTACTCGCACAAAACAGAAGGCTTAACCCAAGTGCTATGGTGACAGAACGATCAAAACCTAATCACAATATTCCAAAGTTAATATGTACTACCACAAATTCAAAGTGAAGTCATCATTAGCACTACCCCTAATCACGGTGCTATTTCTATCACTCTCCACATGACCAAACATCTCCAAATTGTTCTTATATCAAAAACTAAACATTTAAATCCCCGTTAATTGTTGGCCCTCGGTGTGTAAACAGTGCCCGTGAACAGTATCCATGAACAGTACCCGTTAACAGTAACTTCAACTTCCAAAATTGGCAAAACAATAACTAATCTCACGGATTTTTCTCCAAAATCACAACAACCCAATTCAAGCTAATTTACACTTAATCAAGCTTAAAAACATAGCTTAAACTACTAAAATTTCCCCATTTCTCACGGCAGGAGAGCATGGCTTTGGCAACCACAACTCACACACACGGGATTTCCTCTCCAAAAATCATAGCAGCCAAATCAAACTAATTCTACATAAATTAAGCTAAAAAAACATGTCAAAAAGGCTACCAATCCAGCAGATTTCGGGCAGCAAACAGGGCAACTCAATAGCAGGAAATCCAATCAACACAAGGCAACAACTACATGGATAAATTGGACTTGAAAGAGCCGGCAACTTACCAGAATTTTCCGGCAAGCAAAAGCCGGGTCCGGTGAACATGAAGCTGACAGGATTTTGGAGAAGAAGCTCACGGCCTACCTTAAAATTCGGGGAAATAAAAGCAATTAAAGTAAACCCAACTTGAATTAAGGCTAAAGGGATAATTTCCTAGTTGTTCCCTTACCAGAAAAACCGAGAAGCTCTCCACCGGCAAGAGCAGCTCGCGGGCAGGGGAAGGAAGAGCAGAACAGATCCGGGATTTCTGGGTTTAATAGCTGTTCTAGAACAAGAAAATAGGGAGAAATCCCCAAGCTTTTCCGGTGTTCCCGGCCGGAAATGGGTGGCGGTAACGGGGGGGGCTCGCGGCAGAAGGAAGAGAGCAGATCTGGGATTTTTTTTCTGGGTGGAGAGGGAAGATTCTAAGCCCCAAATCTTGTGATTGAACAAGAAAGAAGGAGAAAATTCCAAGCTTTTTGCCAATTTTTCAAAGGGGGACTATCGGCAGCTGGGGGGGGGCTTGTCGGGGAAGAAGAAGAGAAGCAGAACACGCGGGCCTGATGAGGAAGGAAAGAAAGAAAGAAAGAAAAAGAAAAGAAAAGCAATTGATCCTTATCCTAATTTCCTTTTTTTTAGTCCCTCAACTTTTGAAAATTTTGCTAATAAATCCCTCAATAATATTTTTCCTCAAATAAATCCCTTACTTAATGCTAAAATATC